CGCATAAAAGAAGGAAGAATTGGAAAGTAACTCTGAGCGGCTGAAATATATACCGAAAATATACAATAATAAGCAGTATGTCATTATTACCATACGTTTTTGTAAAAAATTGAAGGCACTATATCGTCAGAGGTCACGGTACCGGCAGCCTACACATTTCATATTTCAAACTATTATTACTTCACTTCGGATTAGAGTATTTAATGTTCAGTATACTAAATAATATAGACCTATTAGTTTCGGATTTTAAATTATTATTATTAATAATTTGTTTAAATGAAAATGTTATATATCATCATTAAATACATACCGTAATTCATACAATAGTAACAATAAATTTGGTTAGAAATTGTATTACTAATTAATAGTTTCATGACAATTCACACAATATAGAAATTTTACTACACATTCTAATTAATAGTGTTGATTAATAATGTAATTTATAGTAATCCTTATCAAATTATAATTATTATTTGATTGCAGTAAGTTGTCTATAGAATTAGAATGGTATTTTTTTTCAAAATTTAAACATTTGGGAAGGCCTCTCGCGTCGGCACCAGTAAGATTGACCATGGAGGGTTAAGTGAGTTTCATACTTAGTCGGACACAGTTCAAGCCTAATAACCAACTCGTCTTTCCATTTAATTTGAGAGTATATGTCACGTGATGTATGTGATTACTTCAGAACAAATTTGATTGACGCTAAGAGGATCAGAGAAATGGTGCACTGGAAAGACAGTGATGTATTTGAAGGAAATTGGATTAAGATGCTTAGCCGAAATTTTGAAAATCAGCATCTTCAAATGTGAATAAGCGGCGCACGTTAATTCAAAATATTCAGGCGCAGACACGTGACACGAGATGTTACTTAAACTGTTTAGAGCTCAATTCACGCTTAGTTCCCATTATTCATCCTTAAATAGTAGGCCTACTCTTGTGATTGCCACAAATGCCATATGTTATAATGCTGTAAACACACGGTCGGCACGGATGAAAACAAACTTTGCACATTAAACGAGCTTAAAGAAATTGAAAATTCGGTTATTATTATTTATTTTTCATTATATTTCCCCTCTGTATTCACGTAAGGTTACGAAAGCTCTTGTGTATTTATTTCCAATATAATTTTTCAATACAATTTGTTTTTGCCATGATCAAACACGTGGTACTTTTCAAACATGTGCCCCAGTCTTTTCATCAAAGGCCAAAGGTTTACCACTGAGCTATGTGCTTCGGCAAATACATCTTACCAAACCATACAACACAAGCATGTGTATAAGAGACAGTCTTAACAGTCTGCTCAGGTAGGTAATTCAAGACTAGGCCATATCTTCACTGCTCTACATCGGTTCCCAACCTTTTGATCATGGAATTGAAAGAGAGGTGTGTGTATGCGTGTGTGTGGGAGGGGAGGGGGGGGGTCAGTAACTCAATTTTACAGATAGGAATCAATACCATTTTTTTTGTCTATGACACTTCTAGATGGCAGGAAATGGCACTGTCAGATTTTAAATGTGAAGTAATTTTTTCCCCATTTATTTTAAATTTTGTAAAATTTAGGGACCCCGTCCTGATGTTTTAAAACTCAATATCCAGGTAAAAGCAGTACAAGACAAAACACAATACAAACAAGATGTTCACTACCTGAGGATTGCCACTATCAAGTGGCTCTCCTATACCAAAATAATACATTACATAAAGCATACATACAAAAAATATAAAAGATTCTAAGAGATCAGAAATACAATTTTGGAATCAAAATAGGCCAGCTAAAACAATTTACAGTGAACGAATCTATGCATATGCCAAAGGTATTTCATTACTGACAAGGCACTTAATAAATAGTAGCACAATGTTGTAATACAAGAAAAGTAATGGAATAATGAAAAATTGGCCTAAAAATCCAGCGGACCCCAAATTTTTTCGCGAACCTCCAAATTTTTCGCAGACCCTCCGCGGAACCCCTGACTTGGTGGACCCCGAATTATTTTTCGCGGACACCTAAGGGTTCCGCGGACCGCACGTTGGAACCACTGATCCAATACCCAATTTATCAAAATTTTCAGATAGATTAATGTTTAAATGTTAATATATTTAAATGTTTAGACAGTCTGAATGAACCGTTACGCTAAGCCACTACTAGGCAGTTTTCGCCGCACGACGTTAACCTTAACGTATGACGTCATAATTTATTTATCTTGCGTTGCTGAGTACGTTAATTTCAGGATTTTACCTGCTCGAATTACGTTAGTTACGGAATTGCGCATGCGTATTTCGATTTGTTTACAAAAGGGGCGGAGCTATGGCGTGCATGTTGGGTACTAACTTTAAAGTTAAGGTTAACGTCGTGCGGCGAAAACTACCTAACATGTCTCAGAAAACGACAGCGTAATGTACTGTATATTTAAACACGTGTCTTTGTGGGAAATGAATGCGTATAATCCTGGCACTGTTCTGATTGACTCCAGTCATTGGCGTCACGCTCGGGCGCGCGCTGACAGGGGCAGAGCGCCTGGGCAACCAGGCCACGAGGGGCTCCGACATTGTAGTTTAAACAAAATATATATATGACAAAGATCGTCAGCATATACGAAACGACGCCATCTACTTCGCTTTCCTATCAATTCAACAAAAAATCGGCGATTCTGAAGCATGCTCTCTATCAACTCTGTTAGACGGATATCTTTCGTCACCTCTAAGATCTTACAGAGGAGACGTCTGTGATTGACAGTGTCATAGGCTGCTGACAAGTCGACAAATACAGCACCGGTTACCAAACCTTGCTCGTAACCATCTTCAATGTATTGTGCGAGATTAAGCAGTTGGCTAGTTGTTGATTTGCTAGGCCGGAACCCTGCCTGTTCTGGAATGATTTGCTCATCAATAGTTGGTGCAATCCTATTGAGTATCAAGCGTTCATAAGGCTTATAGGTGTGACAAAGCAGTGAAATTGGCCGGAAATTCTTAGGATTCAAGGCATCTTTCCCCAGGCTTCAGTAGTGCTAAAATGTTTGCTTTCTGCCATATTTTAGGTAATTTTATGTTGTCAGGCAGTGAT